AGTGATCCAGAAGTGGATGAAGTTATTATGGCTGATACACCTTCCAATAACAATAACACTGGGGGTGGTTTAATGGATCCTCCCAACAATAATATTGGGCGTGATTCAATTTTACCTCTTAATAACACTGGGGGTGGCCCAATTATTTCTGCTCAACATCACTCAAAGAGAGATGAAGATGAGGACAAGAAAATGCAAGACCTTGAAAACAAAGTCAATGCTTTGATGTCCGCTCAGGACGTAAAGAAGACGGGTATTCCGTGTCCCTATCCAAGAGAATGGGATTCAATACCGTACCCGGCAAAGTTCAATCTGATTAACTTCACACCATTTGATGGGAAGAGCTTGCCTACTCAGCACTTGATTTATTTCAAGTCTCATTTGGGCATGATCTATGGAAATGAGGCTTTAATGGTCCGGTCATTCGTTGGCACCCTTTGTGGGCCCGCCTTCGATTGGTACCGACGTCTTTTAGGTAGGACAGTTGACGATCATGAGCCGCCAGCTCCTCGTTATACGAGCTCATGGCCCGACGATCGAGAGCTCCCACACACGTTGAAACGTGTGACAAGCCTGTGCATGACCGACCTGTTGGTCCTAGGAGGATTGGTGCCCCGAAAAGGAAGAAGACCGCACATAAACCCCACGACGGTCAGCGTCCTTATGGAGTGGACTTAGGAAGCACTGCCTCCTCAGCAATTTCTTCGATGATGACACCGAAGTGTCAATCGGAACCCTTTTAGATGAGAAGCAAAAAGATGGAGAGTCAGTCGACAATTTTGTCAAACGCTTCCATAACAAAGCAATGAATTACAGAGATCCTATTACAGAGAAGTTTATCCTGTAAACATGTCATAATAATCTCTCCATCGATGTCTTGGAAGCCCTGGGGGTCGTATCATCCGAAACTTGGAAAGATTTGAAAATGCGCGGTGAACAAGCTGAATACTTTCTTAAAAGAAAGAAAGCTGAGAGAAGCCGAACGATGACATCTGCAATCGCTGGGAACGCGACTCTCGATCCGAAGTTTCAAAAGGAGTATTCTTTCGAAAAGGATGAAGCTCCAGCCATATTAAAATACCTCCTCGCCAATGATAAAATCAAGCTACCACCTATTAAAGATCAGGAGGGAGCTAAGAGAATTACGGATCCAAACTACTGTACGTACCACAGAAGGGTTCTTCATCCTACCAAGATTTGCTTCGGACTCAAAAACAAAATCCAAGCCTTAATTGACTCCGGCGTCATAACGGTGAAACAAGCCAATGATACCCTCCTCAATCATGGGGAAGGAAGATCTTCTGTTTTTGCTGCAAGTATTTTTGAGCTTTCTTCATCTTCCAACATTCAGGTTACCCTGCAGATGTCACGATGGAAAGGCCAGTTGAGGATGGAGCCTATCATGATGTAGGTTTCGAGGAGAGGGGGTGTGCCCCTGTACCAAGCTTCTCGAAACCCGATGCTGGCTTGTTAGCTGACATGCTGGCTGAACAGACTACCAGAGGAACCGAGAGACCATTCTTTGGGAGTGATTCATTCATAGGTATATATCTGATCCCCTTCATCTTGCCTGATCTTTTGTCTGACTAACGAAGGATTAATTTCCATGAACGAGAGGTCCACAAATTGAACGATCAAACCTTTAAACAGTTAGGATCGTCTCAAATTTCCCTTTTGGTCAAACCTTTAAACAGTTAGGACCAAAGCCAAAATCCCCTCTCGATTCGTTCCATGAACGAGAGGTCCACAAATTGAACGATCAAACCTTTAAACAGTTAGGATCGTCTCAAGTCCCCATTTGGTCAAACCTTTAAACAGTTAGGACGAAAGCCAAAATCCCCTCTCGATTCCTTCCATGAACGAGAGGTCCACAAATTGAACGATCAAACCTTTAAACAGTTAGGATCGTCTCAAGTTCCTATTTGGTCAAACTTTTAAACAGTTAGGACCAAAGCCAAAATCCCATCTCGATTCCTTCCATGAACGAGAGATCCACAAATTGAACGATCAAACCTTTAAACAGTTAGGATCGTCTCAAGTCCCCATTTGGTCAAACCTTTAAACAGTTAGGACCAAAACCAAATTCCTCTCTCGATTCCTTCCATGAACGAGAGGTCCACAAATTGAACGATCAAACCTTTAAACAGTTAGGATCGTCTCAAAACCCTATTTGGTCAAACCTTTAAACAGTTAGGACCAAAGCCAAAACCCCCTCTCGATTCCTTCCATGAACGAGAGGTCCACAAATTGAACGATCAAACCTTTAAACAGTTAGGATCGTCTCAAGTCCCCATTTGGTCAAACCTTTAAACAGTTAGGACCAAAGCCAAAATCCCCTCTCGATTCCTTCCATGAACGAGAGATCCACAAATTGAACGATCAAACCTTTAAACAGTTAGGATCGTCTCAAGTCCCCATTTGGTCAAACCTTTAAACAGTTAGGACCAAAGCTAAAATCCCCTCTCGATTCCTTCCATGAACGAGAGGTCCACAAATTGAACGATCAAACATTTCTACAGTTAGGATCGTTTCAAATCTCTATTTGGTCAAACCTTTAAACAGTTAAGACCGGAGCCAAAATCTCATCTCGATTCCTTTCATGAACGAGAGGTCCACAAATTGAACGATCAAACCTTTAAACAGTTAGGATCGTCTCAAAACTCCCACTTGGTCAAACCTTACTACAGTTAGGACCACAACTAAAATCTCCTTTCGATTCATTTTGCAAACGAAAGATCCACTTTTGAATTGAATAATCAAACCTTATGACAGTTAGGATTATTCAAATCAGTCCAGATTCTCTAAGCGGAGATCCCACTTCGAGTTTCCTTTGCACCAGGAGATAGAATATAAAATTCTTCTTCTCCATCATCGGGTTCATCTCTACCAACAAAAAACAGACCAGGAGATAGAATATAAAATTCTTCCTCTCCATTATCGGATTCATCTCTACCAACAAAAAAGAGACCAGGAGATAGAATATAAAATTCTTCCTCTCCATCATCGGGTTCACCTCTACCAACAAAAAAGAGACCAAAATACTCCAATAGGCATATGAGTCTAAACTATTTTCCTAATCTCAACAGGAAGTTTCTGGAGAATATCACTCAGAATATTCTTAAGAATAACTTGAATACTCCAATAAGTACACGAGTCTAAACTGTTTTCTTACCCTCAACAGGAAGTTTCTGGAGAATATCATTTAGAATATTCTTAAGAATAACCTGGCTACCTCCCAACGAGTATATGAGGTTAACTATTTCTCGAAAACGCCAAAAAATACATGAGTATAAACTATGTTCTTATGAAGACTGATACAGTGATTAACAATCCAGTACCAATTTGATGACAAAAGCTGAATTCACAAATACAAATTCCAGCTTCGATTCAAGATCTCGACAACGGTCAAACAATAAACGTAGTACCGAAAGAATACTAGCTATTCTACAAGGAACTGAATAGACTAAGGGATGAAGAGATCAGGAGTTGAAATCATTTACGGATCCAAGGAACTGAATAGACTAAGGGATGAAGAGATCAGGAGTTGAAATCATTTACGGATCCTTCTACACGATCAACTCAACAGTTGAAATCATTTACGGATCCTTCTACACGATCAACTCAACCAAGTATTGAAGAGATCGTAAGTAAAATATATCTTATCTAAAGTATCACATACTCCTCTATAAAAGAATTAGTCTGGAATACTTTGGAGGGGGTATCTGTAGGCGTCGAAAAATGCTGAAAGATATCCAAATACAACTCAAGAAGAGATCATCCAAAGATCAAAAGAACACAGAGAACAGTGTAGACTGTCTCGGCACGCGAGGCAGTGTTTACTGTCTCGTCGTGCGAGACAGTGTTTACTGTCTCGCACGCGAGACAGCTCTCGAAGGATCAGAAACCGTTTTGTATAACTGCCGACACGCGTGTCCATTAACTGTCAAAGAACATGGGAACGTCGTGGGCGAGAATCACGTGGATAACTGTCAAAATAACGGAGTTTGAAACGTGGGAAGGCAGTTACGGTGGAAATCGCTGGGCAGTTGGGTTTTCCGAGATAGTGTTTACTGTCTCGGAACCCGAGACAGTAAACTCTGTCTCGGCCGCCGAGACAGCAAACACTGTCTCAGAAGCACTATTCATCCAAGGGCTATAAATACCCCCCTAAGATCATTTTTGAAGGGGGCTGATCGCTGAGCATTTTGGAGCAGACAGAGCAGAGTACTTAAGCTTCTGACAATTCCTTGAGATTCGAGCTTTGACTTGATCTTAAGAAGAGTGATCGTCTTACTTTGATAAGATCTTCACTTCAAATTCCTACTTCGATAAACGAAGGAAGAATCCCCAAAACCTTCACGATTCAATCAAAATCTGTGATTCGGTGGTCCACGGGTTAACGCACCCTCGGCACAGGCAAAGATCCCACGCAAGCAGCGATCCAAACAACGATCCTGCGTTTGTTTCTAAAAAGTTATAATTTTTCTTTTGTTGTGTAAAAGAAGTCTTATAAAAAGACTATTTCTTTTGAATTTGTTGTAATCGACCAAAGATATAATGAATTCCATAACAAAATCAGTTTTTGACGAAAACAGTATCAATCATAGAGTTAACTGATAGCCTGCCACATGGCTTAATGCCTCCCCCCCCCCCCCCCCACCCTCCCCCCAAAAAAAAGGAATTCTTATTTCTTTTTTTTAATTGACGGTAGTTAATCTCTTTTCTCATCACCGCAGACTACAATGCATCTGAATAAGCTCTCCATCCATCTAACCCCATGTGAGCTTTTCGTTTCTGTCTCAATTCTCCTCTAAATCATCCAAACGAGAGATGCATGCATCTGTCCCCCCCCCCCCCCCCCCCCCCCCCCCCCCCCCCCCCCCCCCCCCCCCCCCCCCCCCTCTCTCCTAAGTATTGAATGCTTTATCTCTAATCAAGGTCAATTCTCTGCACCATGCAGAAGAGCACAAAAACGATAGACAAACTAACTAACATGAAGCTTTAACAACTACAAGTTTGTTCCCTCTTATGGAACAAAAACTGAATTATTCCTAAACACAACGATCATAATCACCTCATAACAACAAGAACATCAACATAAACGAGGGGGAAAAAAAGAGAAAAAAGAACATGAAACCACAAAAAAAGATAAAGAAAAAAGAACCTAATAACTATAACCACTAGCAGTTATAGCAAGAACACTAACATCATCAGTCTCAGCCCCGTCAGTCCCAGAAGAATCAGCCGCAGCGACAGAGCCCTGCTGACCTCGTCCAGCAACACAGTATGCATTATTATTATTCCTATGATTATGCATCCAAACCTTAAAGGCCCTCCGACTAACTCCGGCCTCCTCCAAAAACCTCTCCACCTCCCTCTCCTCCCCCTCTCTCTCCCTCTTCGGTACCCTCCACCCGACCCTCTCCGCGAACCTCCCCATCTTCTCCTTCTGCTCTTCCGTGAACTTTGTCCTCGCTCTTCTCGTCGACCTATGATCCTCTTTCTCTTGACTCTCAGTAGCCGTGCTCGGAGCCGAGACTTTGCGGTGGAAGCTGCGGTGGCAACCGCACGCCGTCGACCGTGTGGGTGCCGAGGTTGGGGGATTGGTTCTTCATGCATTGCGTGTACACGTGATGGGGGGTTTTTTCTTCCTCCATGCTTTTTGCGCTTGCTCTACCTTATCATATGAGGGCTTGGTAGTTTATGTAGTGTTGCTATCTTCATGAAGTAAATGACAGTTGTGGTCATGTTGTGTCCAATATTGATTAGATTAATCTTAGCTGATCATGTGTGTCCCTCCATGCACTTAGCTATAATGGAGCGTTGTTCATGTTGTTTGTGGAGCCTGCTTTACATGAAGGACGCATAACATCATAACTCAAAATAAAACGCTTGCAATGCACCCTGAAACAAAAATGAAAATAGCTATATATATATTTGCATGTGTGGGTATTTTTATAATTTCGGATTTCAAACATAAACTCTATGTTATAAATATATATGTATCTTCAACCACCTATTATTTTCATATTCAAAAGAAAGAAAATTAAGTAGAGATGAGGAGAAGGTAAGGCTAGGGTTTAAGGATTAAGTGTAACCCTTGAAGATTATTAATGGTTGTGACTTGATTATAGTAGATAATCACATTTATTGTTGAATAGTCTCGTTAAGTCTTAATTTGTGTTTCTTTGGTTTATTCATTATTTCTTAATTTCACCAATATTATGTGATATTATTGACATGTTGCCTTGCTAACTGTCCACGGTCCAAATCATCTTCATATCCATATTATTACTGATAATCTGAAGGTTATTACATCACTATCACACTAGCCAAGTGTTTGAAGGGGGACACCCTCGTTATATCTTATGCACTTAATTATTTCCCAAGAATGTGAATAGACAAAATCTATGTTTAATTTCGATCAATATAATTTATTATGCAAGGAATAATTATAATTTATATTGTGTAGAGAATGAAAATGAGTATAATATTCCATAAGGGGAATGGTGTCCCTACTATATGCAACGAATCATAACCGTCTTAAATATAGATATATAGATGAAATTATAATTTGGATGTGGTTTATTTAGTGACGACCAACAAGCAGTTTGACAATGGAGAGTTCATTTCTGCAGTCATAAGCACGCACATATTTTCATATTGACAAATTCGTGTGAATCTAACAATCATCGTGTCTAAAGGTGATCCATTCAAGACGAATAATAATAATATAATATTAAACAGTAGACTAAATGTGATTTAAAAAGCAAAATGCAAATCCTCCTTGTGATTTCATTGAAGCCGAATCACGTACAATGTTAAACATTAGACGATTCTGATCAAATTAAGCAGAAAGTGCGGATTTAAACCCCTCTAATTATAAGTGACACGCATAACTGAACTAAAAGAGGAACTTAATTTTCTCCAGATATCGATCAAGTGTAAAATGTAAGTCGCAAATTAAGTTTTGAATCATAAATAGAACATAGGAATCATAGGAATCATGCATGTCAAAGATTGAGCTGTAGAGATTCTTACCTAAAGGAAATTAATGGCTAGCTACAATTACAAAATCACCCCCGAGCCCTCTCCCAGTTTGCAGTCCTCTACTAAACTAACCCTGCTCTAATTAACGTCTCTTAAGCACATGGGTTCTTGTTGGTTGGTCTTTAAGCGCAGTACAGGCTCATAGCAATTTATCCGCTAAATATCAAAGTGTTCTTGATTGGTCAGCAATTGATATCCATGTGTTGGAAATTATTGTAGGTGGCCTTTGCTACCTTTTGTGAGACAGTCCAGCTATATATGTACAATTCCTATATGCATGAACATGGAACTTCAAAGGTTAAAGATATATGAAGATGGTTAATTTGTTTGTTTTGGAGATGAGCACCAAGGTTGCACTATATATATATATTGAGAATAACCAAGAGTTTAGTGAAACAATTGCATCTACAAAATCAGAATGTTTCCTAATCTCTTAGGTGGGGAAAATATGTGTAAATCAAAGTAGCTAGTTGTTCCTGCAGAAGATTACGGAAAATAAAATTTCAGTTTGAAAACAAATTAAAAGATCGCGAAAGTCGAAGCATATCACTCATCCTCCCTAATTGGAACAATATTGCTGAAACTTAAACCATGTAGTTGCTTTCTTTTTACTTGATTTTAGCGGAAGTGCAAAAGTTGAAGATATACAGTAAAGTTTTCGGGGGCAAGTTACTTCATCAACCTCATTAAACTATTAAAAATAATAATCTAATATCACTAGTTACTTGAGTAAACAAAAATGGAAGAATATAATCGATCACCACCATAAATTTGATATTTATTAAAATGATAAGTAAAATAATATTTATCACATGTCTCTCTTTTTTATTACAAACCCTGTTGTTGATTTTGTTGTTTCTCTTAAGCTGTAAACTGTCTAGAGAAATGCTTACAGAGCTGAATCTTGTGAAACATGTTTGAACAGTGTACATGTGCACATATATATACTGCAAAAATTGTTTGATTGAGTTTATAGTTTAAAATCATGAAGATCCTAAAACTAGTATCTTGTGTTGTGAACTAGTTGGTATGTTTTAAGTAAGATCATTTCTCACATTGAAAAGATGTGTCCCTTCACTGCCCTAAGAGGGTATAAGATCAAAAACACATTACCATTAGATGGATAATAAAATAAAAAATTAACGAACAAAATATTTGTGAAATACTTATGAAATATTTCTTCTTTACATTTATACACTCCTCGATATGTATTCTAATAGTCAAGAAGACGCATATACGTACTCTCTTGAAATTCAAGGAAAAACACTTCTTTTATGTATTATATATCTAAACAGTCTCTGTAAAATTTAAGTTAATGTACACAGATCGATATTGTTGATTTTAATCCTTGATGGGTAAAGGAGGCCAATTTTGTATGACTTTCCTTATTAATACTAGGCTAGAAGAAAGAAAACCCCCATTTTCTGGTCTTTAATTAGATGTAGGAGTTAGAGCATTTTAGGACTTAGGTACTTGTATGAGGACTTAAGAGATAATATCAAATTTTGTTTCAAGTATGAGGTTGTGTAATTAGCTCGACAACTTTCTTTCTTAAACATATATAAAAGCGTAACAATTACTCTCCAACTATAGTGTAAAAGGTGTCTATTTGGAAATTCCGATTAATAATTAAATTAGTCTAATAGAACAAAACCAGTTTAATAATTAGTTTTGCCCCTAATTTGGAAAATAGCTAGACTAGAAGTGAAACTAGTTTATTTAGACCAATTTTTTGCCTTAAAACGTCCGAACGTAGTCCACCCCTCCCCAAGTCCAGAACTAGACCAATTATTCTTGCTGTAGATAAGGAGAGTTTTCTGATATGTAACAAAACAAAATTTCTTTGGAAAGTCGTTCTGCCCTGTTGCTGTTGGTGCATATGGTCAAGCAGGAATAACTTCATTTTCAATGTAGTTCCTCTTTCTCAACAAGCCATAGCAGCTAATACTGCTCATTTCACTCTTTTCCGGACAGGCGCGAGGAATAGTAGGAAGGCAAATGCTCTTCATATAGCTACAACAAATCTGGGTCTGAAGGAACTGGCTAAGAGCAGATCGGGTGAAGACATGGGGAAAAACTTCTAGTCTCCTCTCTGTCTTTCTCTTGAATGTTTTGGTATTTGTCTTATGTTAAGTGGTTGTGTTACGATACTTTACTCTCTAGTTAGTCTATCTCTCTTTTTCCTTTTGGGAAGGGGTGGAAGCTAAGTTGTTGTCTTGTGGTAGGTGACGACAAGGTCCGCTCCTTACCGTTGTCAGCAACTCTGGTTCCACCTCCTTCTCTTAATTTCTTTTGTTCTTTTGTTATTTTGTTGTTGTATTTGTACAGTTTCTTCAGTTATATATATATATATATATATATATATATATATATATATATATATATATATATATATATATATATATATATATATATATATATATATATATTATAATATATAATATAGGGAGAGGTTTAATAACACTAGAGATAAAAAATATTCCTAACCCTACAAATTATCTAATCCAATGCCCCTAGATTTCGATGAGGAATTGTAAACCTATAAAACGGAAAGCTCCAAATTGTAATAAAGAAGGCAAAGAGCCTGCCATCGAAGAGAAATGTTATACACTAGGGGCATTATAGTGAAAGGGTAAAATTGGAACAGAGAATTCATTGCATTATGGTGACTGATTAGATGACAATGATACAAGATTTAATAGGCACGTCCTTTAATAATCTCTCGCTTACAGTTCTAGGCCAATTTTTGCTCACGTTCTGCCTCTCTCTCTCTCCTGCCATTTCTCCAGTTGAAAGCCCTCTCTCTTCTTCTCTCACACCACAACACACTACTCTCCGAGCTCCTCCAACTCATCCGGCAGAGCTCCTCCGACGAAGCCGAAAGCCGCTCGCCGAAACGAAAAGCGGCGATGATCCGTTCACTAATTGTCGATTTCAGTGAGCTACTGAAACTCGTTATGCAAGCAATAGCAATGCAAAAATAAGAAAACAAAATGAGTTTTATTGTGTGTGGTGGAATGATGAATTTCTTTTATATATAAATCTATTATGTCTCCTGATACTTTCGCTGTGAATGGTCATCTGCTCATGTCACTATGTATTTGTATTCTCGGGTATCATCTTTATGTGCTTCTCGTTCACTCACAGTTGGTTCATGATTCTCTGTTGTGAATCGGATGGCGATGGTTTGTGTCTGTGGGGTAGTTGGATGTCTGGCTGGTATGTCCTGGCGTGGAGGTCGCTGCTGGTTGTTGTCGGAAGCTGACGTGGGTGGGCAGGGGATGAGGGGCGAGGTCGGGAGGGCGGGGATTTGGTTGCGAGATGGCGGAGGCTCGAGGTGGTGATGCATGAGGACGATTGGTCGATGAGGTGGGGTGGAGGTGGGCGAAGAGAGAGGAGGCGGCTTGGGGAGGAGTTCGGTGAGCAAGGGTGGGGAGAGAGCGCTCAGGCGAGGGCGAGGTGGGGGAGCGAGCAGGCGAGCTGGAGGAGTCAGGCAGAGGTCGAGCCTCATCGGGAGGCGGACGGTCGGAGTAGAGCTTAGATAGGAGTTGCATGGGGTGCGGTGGTGATGGTCTGATAGAAGGGATGTGAGAGAGCAGAAAGATGG